CGCGCCCGGGAGAGGTGCAGGACCCGGTCCTCCCCATCCCCAGCTCAGCCGGCCGCTTCGGCCCTCTGCCCCCGGGGCGCTGCTGCTGTGGCGGCAGCCGCCGCCCTAGGACCAGCAAGCCCCGCTCCCCGCGCGCCTCCGAGGGTAGCGACACCAAAAACCCTCGCGCCGGCCGCTCCCGCGCCGACTGCCGGCCCTACGCGACGTCAGCGCTTCTTGTAGGACGCAGCGCGCAGCGAGGCACGCTCCCTCCGCCGGAAAAATGAGTGCACGCGCCCCTCCGGGCACGGCGACCGGCGCCCCGGCGAGTGCCTGATCACTCCCTGAGGCAGGGAAGGAGGGTGCGAGCCGCTGTGGCCACAGCTAGTTACCTGCTGAAGCCTCCGCGCTGGTCCTGGGAGCAGATTCGAGCCTGCCACGCCCCGGAGTGGACCCGCTGGGAGGCGGGCTTCGGAGAAGCGGGTCTTGAACTCTAGCTGCAAGAGGGGCCGGGGCATCCCTTGTGCAGTGTAGACCCGAGGGATCCGCTGAGGGCAAAGGAGCGTCTCCTAGAGCTCGGCCTTTCTCGCGCCCTCTAAAACCAGAAGTCGTGCTGCCAAGCTGCCGGTATTCCCCGACCCTTCTGCGTTCACTGCTCGGGGTCTCTAATGAGATGGTGTGGGGCAGGGATCCTGCACCTTTTTGTGTCCCTTGGCTTCTGGGAGAAGCTGATGACAGCTCAGAACCCTCTTCCCAGAGAAATACTTAGGCACGCAGTCTCAGGGTTGCATACGTCTTCAAAGACTCTAAGGATCCCTGGCGTCCTGCTGGTTTGACCACAGGCTTTCCTCGAACGGCTTATGGGAGCTTTCTTTTCTACTTGATTATTAAAGCTCAAGTGACAAGGAACTTATTTGTCAACTTTCCCTCACGGAAATGTCTTACGAAACCATTTTATAAACAATAAGCTTGAAAATGTTATAGAAAACGCAGGCCTGATAGTGTACTGGATGGTCAGTTGTTTAGCGTATTTGCTCCCAGGTTATCCCTCACCTCCAGAATTACATTTCCCACCCCAAGCCCATCTCTGCAAACTGACCTATGAAGGCCAGACGGGAACCCTAAGAACCTCCAATCTTGAGGCAATCAGCCCTGTAATTCCGAGAGGAACTCTCTCCCTTCCTCAAACCTTCAAAATGTAAGGTCTTGGATTTCTGCTCCCATACTGTGCACACCTACATAATTCTCTCCCTACTTCAAAATCTGGCCCAGGTGAGTGTTAGATACTGTGAAAATCTGGAGCTTTCAAAAATTAAGAGCAAATGAAGCAAGTTTTTACATACACCCAAAAATTTATTTGTAGATGACTCCTTACCCCTTTGAAAGAGTCTCTACAGTATATCTCTAAATATGAGTATTTAAATAGGATACAGGACTTAATGTCCCAAAATTCACTAAAAATAGCTCTTTGGGAATATGTATCTTACGGGCTATAGGACCCTGAACAAGTTACTTCACCTCCTGTGCCTCAGTTTGCTTATCTGTAAAATGAAGAGAATAGCAACTACCTCTTCGGTTGTTAAGAGGTTTAAATGAGTTAAATGTGGAAAAAGCTTAGAAGAGTGCCTGGCTTGTACAAAGCACTATTTTAAATGTTTATTAGGTGATAAAGTGAGATCAAAGCTGGCCCTAGGCAACACTTCCCCAACCCCAGACCAGTGCCCCAGAATCTTTCCCCCTTCCCTCCTCTGTCCACTCCCCAGGTGATTCTTAGGTGAACAGAATCCAAGCTTTCGATTTTAGGGATGGACCATCTACACCCGCGTAAGGGAGGTTTATCTAACAGACATCTGGAGAAGTCATCTCCTATAAACTGTCTCTGCAGAAACAATAATTATAAAACTTTTGGATAGCAGGGAAGTAAGGAGGAGTGGGCTAGCACACGGGGACTAGGTCTGGCAGCCTTTCCCACACAGGACCTGGCAGCAGCCAACATCCCAGGGAGCTCAGGGGGAGCCCCCCCAGGCTGCCCAGAGGCGGCTGAAGCTGCTGGCTTCCAGATATGTCCGCTAAAGGTGCCTCCTTGGGCCTCAGGACACTTTGGAAGCAGCACTTCCACCTTCCTGCTGATCTCTTCACCATCCAGATGGGGACAAGTGTACCCTTTGTTAGCTGAGCCAATGCATATTTTACACATATCTGTGTCTCAGAGCTTTTGTTGTGAGACATAATCCATAACTCGGCCCTGTTCACAAGGTCGCATCTGCTAAGAATTGAAGCTAATAATTAACATACAATTTTCAGCTGTTTATATTTAATGTCATTAAAATTACACTAAGACATTATGGAGATGTTTTTAAGAAGCCACCAGAGGCCCTTAATTTAGATATGCATCACATCCTATATGCGCAGGCCAAGCATGGGCCCCACGAACACACCATTGTTTCAGAAATAAAGTATGCAGGTGATATCGGCTGAAGACAAGGTTGACATAAGGGAAGCCATATTGTAGAAAAGGAAAACTCTGTTGTAACTTTGAATGACCTCTGACAAACTAACCCAGCTGTATCTGCACCCTCCAGGAGATCTAACTGCTCTGTAGATTTTACAACCCCTGCTTGTACATGTACCTCCCAGCTGCGATAAGATGATAACTTTGTTCTTTTGAGTTCCTTGGGAATGTGATAACCCCCGAACAGAGAATCTATGCTGATAGCCATCATCAATGAAAACTGAAAGATCTGGTGTGGCACTCCCGGTCTGTAAGACCAGAAGGTCAACATTCCTAACCCCCTCCCCTATAACCCACTGGCCTGTATAACTGCTGTAACATTTGTGCCCCCTAAGATGGTTTTTTTCAGACATTAGTCAGCCATCTTCCCTCTTGCTAGTGAGCTGTAATAAAAAAGTCCTTTTTCTCCTACCACCTTGCCTCTTGACTATTGGCATGTCTTGCGGTGAGCAGAAGGCCCCACGTTGGGCAGTAACACAGGGGCCGACCCCATGGCACAGCAGTTAAGTGCGCGAGCTCTGCTGTGGCAACCCAGGGTTTGCAGGTTCGGATCCCAAGTGCGCACTGACACACCGCTTGTCAAGGCATGCTGTTGCGGCATCCCATATAAAGTAGAGGAAGATGGGCATGGGATGTTAGCCCAGGGCCGATGTTCCTCAGCAAAAAAAAAAAAAAAAAAAAAACGAGGAGGATTGGCATCAGATGTTAGCTCAGGGCTGATCTTCCTCTCAAAAAAAACAAAAAAGAAAAGAAAAGAAGTAGTGGGGACGAGGAGAGCTTTGCTAAGAGAATGTTCAGTTAAGACTATGTCGGGAGCAAATTACAAATGCCAAATGTAATAAAGTAAAAGAGGAATGTAGATAAAGATACAGATATGCCTCTCAGTGTTCCCAGACAGGGCCTCAAAAGCAAATTACCAGTTGTCCACCTTCAACAAATAGAGAGCCAGTCATCTCTCCAACAAAAATGGATTTATTCGAGATCAACAAAGAATTGCAATTTGGGATCTG